TGTCGTGTGTGTGTGTGTGTGTGTGTGTGTGTGTGTGTGTGTGTGTGTGTGTGTGTGTGTGTGTGTATATATATATATAAGAAAGCGTTGTAGCAGAAAAAGCACATTGTGCATGTCTCTTACAAGTCAAAAATAGTCGAGAGCACAACACGCACCTTTCCGGGGATAATGAAGCACTGGTTGGGTTCTAAGGCATTCGCCAGGCCCAAACGACTCTCATATGTATATGGCTTGATAGACATTATGACTGATAGTGAATATCTCTTGCACGTTTCTTCTCGAGTGTGTATACGGCTGTACTGTTGTTGAACTATACGTACGTGCGAAGTGTAGAGAATTTAGCATGTACTAGAGTACTAGTATATATTTATTTTTTTAAAAATTTAAATATATATAGAATACAAATATATATTTTATATTGTTGGATGTATATATGTTTATTTATAAATAGTTATAATTTTATATACATTGTGCATAGGTGTCCACTCCACTGTCCACCAGTGTCCAGTGGGTATTGCATCTCATTTATATGTACAATATATATATATATATATGCCAAACAACAAATCTGCGGCATTTCCTTAATTGGTAATCATTCATTAGCCCTTTTGTAATTCTTGAGTCACATATTTACACATATTTATATATATGTATATATATATATATGTATGATGATGAGTCACACAGCACACTCCCACTGCCCCAGTGCTTTGTTTAGTGCTTTGCTTTTGTTTGTTTTTGTTTGTTTTTGTTTTTGTCTGTGTTTGATCAAGGCTCGAGACCGCCAGGGTTTTTACTATAGAGGTTGACATAGCCTCATAAAAAAAGAACCATTTAGGAGGCTACGGGTTGACCCATATGTATATTAGAATTCCCATCCCATTGGCCATTAAATTTTGAATTTTTCGTATTCACGAGTAATGATTGGTGAACACGTGATTAATCTCATCCTGATCGGGCTATTGGTTCCAAAGTTACTGAGAAGTCAGTTTGTACCAGAGCTGGGTCAACTAGCCAAACATCTCTAAGACTCTGTGTTTACCACAGGAAGGAAATGAGGTTTTAGGGTTTTGCCTTTTTTCTTTTTCTTAATTTTCTAAATACTAAAAAAAATGTGATATAGGCCCTCGGCAAAACTTATAACGTTATGGTTTCAACGTAAACGTGTAAAGTTTTGATTTTTCTTTAAACGCTATAAAGTACATGGTAAAAAAAGAGTATGCCCTATTTTGACAACATATTAAACTATATGGTGATATACATCCTATATATTGCACCTTAGAGCCTGAGTATCTCTCCCTCATCAAACAGACAGGACCAGTTGAGTAAAAGTATCGAAACTTTTACGTTCTAACGTAATACGTAAAATGGATACTATATTTATGTCTCATACATACCCTACATTCGAATTTATCCGTAGCCTTCTCTCTCACTCGTAGAGTCAACGGCGTATCGCGAGAGAGAGAGACGGCTTTCTTCCAGTACATAGTATGGATGTAATTATGTAGCGTTGGAGAACAGATGTATAGAATGATGGATGTACGCAAGGTTCTAGCTCCAAAGCATTGTATTTAGTATTATCTTGTATATAAATATGGAATATAAGACCATATCCGCCCCATACATACATCACACTCTCATAAGAACATACTGAATTGAATACCCTGACAGCCTCGCGTAAGGGAGATCGCCTCCTTTACACTGCCATCATTGGTATTGTAGCTGGAAAACCTAGATACCACCCTCTATTTAACACTTTGAACTTGATGTATTCTGTATCTGTTGCCGGCGCTGCAGGGGTCACGGTAGACAACATGCCGTACTCAATCAGGTCGAAGGTCAGCGCCAACAGAAACCATCCCTTCCGGTCCAAAGGCATCACCTCCGAAGCTCAGGCACACGCGTATGGGGACCTTGTGATGCATGCAGGACATGTGAGTTTAAACGACGAGATAGGTGAATTACGCATGCATAAGAACGCTCTAGTATGGAACTTGAACGCTGACACGAGCGAACTGAAGAAACAAGAAGGTGCAGGTAGTGAAGAAGCCCTCGATGCACAGGGCGACCCACGATTTCTGAGTGGAGCAATTGACTTTAGTTTAGCACGCATGGGGTTTCTAAAACGGTGTTTTAAGGATAAAAGAATATCTTCGGGCGATACGTTGGAGTGTCAATCAGCTGATCCTGGTAAGTTATCTGCATTCTACGATACTTGCTGATATGTACTGAGAGTAGTTCTGTACTATTGAGCTTAGAAGTGTATGAAAATACACACACACAAGTCTTACAAACGTCAACGGCTTGTCCTATGTGTTTGGATACGTTTTTAGTGTGCGTTAACAAATCGACATATATACATACACACACACAAATGTATTTATATATATATATATATATATATATATATATATATATATATATATATATATATATATATATATATATATATATATATATATATATATATATATATATATATATGGTTTTATATATATATATATATATATATATATATACATATTATACATATAAATAATATATTATGTAAAATATATATATATAGATATATAGATATATAGATATATATATGCATAT